GACAGGGCACAATTCCTCGGGGTTATTTTTATCTTTATTTTATCTTTCTCTGTGCAAGTTCTCCTGGCCCAAACAGAAACTGTTTTTCCATTCCCACCAGTTTTGCACAAGAGACCTTTGTTGAGAATTGGGCTCCAGAAGTCTCTTCTGCACCCCTGCTTAAAGTGTCCGCTGGTCCAAAGTGTTATTTAAAGCTACTGAAAGAAGCTGTGATATTTCAGATTGCTATTTAGAAAAAAAAAAAAGGGGAGGGGGGAATTCTGAAAACCATTTTCTTATTGTACATACAAGCCTCCTTCTCCTGTATATTCTGAAGATATAATCTTATATTTGGTAAGTGTTTCTTGTGCTATTTTACCATGTGATCTGTTTATAAAAATATATATTAAAAAAAAATAAAAACACAAGCCATCTGGTGTTGGGGTTCTTTTTATACCTCTGTGGTATGTGTGTATTTAATCGCACGGTATATGTGACACTTTTTTCCAACAGAAGTTTCTAATTCACCTTAAAAGGAATACCATAATGGGTTTCCTATTTCTCAACGTCGGCAGCTGTAGGACCTGTGAATGTCCACTCCAGAATTCCCCAGCCGGCGTGGCTAGCCGGGGAATTCTGGGAGTTGAAGTCCAGAAGGTCTTAAAGCAGCCAATGCAATACAGAAATTAAGTGCACCAAAGAAGGAATCCCTAATAGTAAAGCATCTTTTATACACCAGGAGTGCATTTCTGCAATCCCCCCAATATCAATGCAGAGTAATGTTAGGAGTGCAGGGGTAGGCAACCTTGGCTCTTTTATGACTTGTGGACTTCAACTCCCAGAATTCCTGAGCCAGCCATGCTGAGGGGAAAGAGAGAGGTTTCCATGCTGAGCCATGCTGGCTCAGGAATTCTGGGAGTTGAAGTTCATGAGTCATAAAAGAGCCAAGGTTGCCTACCCCTGATCTAGTGGGATAGCGGAGTTATAGTTTGGGGTTTTAAGGACAAACTGGATGTATCATTTCAGAACGATTCCTTTATTTTTTTCCCTGCTCCCAAAAGTGTTGAGCTTTCCATTCAGCCATTTAGAGTACACTCTTACCAAGCTACACAAAATTGGGTGTTATAGACTACCGTTTGCACAATAATGTCATGGCATCTCAGTATTTGTCGGGTGCAAAGAATCAGGACCACATGTTAAGTTCCAGTTAATCCAGTGGTGGGATTCAGCCGGTTCGCACCACTTCGGCAGAACCAGTAACTAATTTTTGGTTGTCCAGGCCCAGAATGGACTTCCGGGAGCGGCATCCACACAGAGAACTGGTTGTTCACCTATTTGAATCCCACCACTGAATTAATCTGACTTATTGCTCGTGTCTCTGACAGAAGGCCACCTGAAGAGACTAGAAGCATTTGAAATGTGGATTTACAGGCGGCTGTTACGTATAAGCAGGGTTGACAAGATCAGAAATGAGGAGGTGATCAGCCGCCTGGGAAAGGCCAGGGAAATCATCAAAACAATTAAAAAACAAAAATTAGAATATTTCGGACATGTGATGCGACACCCAGGAAAATACGGCATACTCCATTTAATCCTCCAGGGAAAGATTGAAAGCAAACGAGGTCCAGGCAGAAGAAGAACATCATGGCTTCAAAATCTAAGGGACTGGTTTGGACTAAAAGCAGCAGCACTTTTTCGTGCGGCTGCTGATAAAAACAGGATCGCCAACATCCAATAACGAATATGGCACAAGAAAAAGATACACAAGAAACTAGTCAACTAAACATCAGCACTAAATTGGCAGTAGATAAAGAGTTATTGGAATTCAAGTAAGTTGGACTTGGACTGTTTGTGAGAATGTAATGACTCCAGACTGATTCCTCTTTTGACTTCTCCCCCCAGGCTCTGCCTGTCCTTCTACAGTACAGTATTAGCAAAATAAAAGCTTTGCTGAAATACTATATATATATATAAATTATATTCAGGTTTTTTAAACCACATTTTTATTACAATGCTGTGATGTTATTGGTTATGTTTAAAATAGATTCTCTACGTTGCATCACACTTGTTAAATATCAAACCACAACTTTCTGCTACTTCTAATTGCCTGACTGATCACTATTGACCACAAATCTAACCACTAATGCAGAGGGAAAGCTAATGGTGGCTACACCTAAAAAAAATCTTGCTACGTTCAGGAGCCCTATGGTAAAATATTTATTAATATTCAAATTGCTTAATTTCTTGCACAGTCCCTACAATTATAAATTTATAATTCATCAATGTGAGGAGCGCCATAAAAGCAGGGATTCTGGGCAAGCAAAAATACAACCTACTGACTGGTTTTCTGCCACAGGATTATTAACAGAGAAAGATTAGCAGGTTGTTTTGTTTTGGTTTTTTTGCACTGCATGACAAATTTAATCTTTCTTTGTAATTATTTAACCCGATCTGCAAATCTGGTTCTTTCAGTTTCTCGTTTATTTTAGTGGGCTTCTCTGCTGCTTCAAATGGCCAATGAATTTTGGGTTTATATTTCTGTCCCTGGTTTAAGATTCAAGGAATTGTTTGAATTTGTAATAGTGGCGAATATCTGTAGAATACCGATTGGTTTGAATTCATAAACTGGGATGACTCAGTTCTGTTTGTTGTGTGAATGCAGTTCCTGAGCACCCTCACTGGGTGAAGACAACAAGCTAAACCAGAATTTCTCGACTTTGATCATTCTTAATAGATGCACATTTTACCCTGTGTTAAGACGAGCAGCCAATAAAATTCATAAATAAACTACAATCCCCAGACTTCCCCCAGCAAATAGCTCAATTGTATTGTGAGGTCCACGCATCTCAAAAGTTGCCAAGGTTGCAAAACTTGAGTCTACGCAAACCATAATGCACCTTGTTTGGCTTTAGTTCAGGTTGATGCATAAAACTGGCTATTAAAGCCTGGCCATCATAGCTTATGGTTGATCACCAATGGCTGATTTGATAAACCAGTTTGAGCTATGTTGGATAAACACGCCCCAAATTAGCAATTATACTTAATATATATCTGTATATTATACACAGGCGTGTATTACATATATATAAATATTATTTTTATAATTGCATCATTATTGTTGGGCAATTATCATGATATAGGTGCTGCCCAGAGTCACAAGCCTGAGGTGGGCAGCCATATAAATTTAATATATATATATATATAAAACAATGTCTCTGACAACCACTGCTGCATTGCTACCTTTCTACTGGAGCTCCCAAAGGTGCTTTTTCACGAGGTAACTGGGCTTTTTTCTCTTTGAAGTCGTTTCGCTTCTCATCCAAGAAGCTTCTCCAGCTCTACTGGAGCCTTGCAAGAACAAAGGCAGCGCCTGCGCAATTCCAACCAGCTTTCTGTTTCTACGGATCAATCCAACGCAAACTCGAGAAATGCCGCCGTCCCCCCCCCCGCGTAGGGTTCTGCAATGGTATGATCCACCCTGTTCTACAACCTCCCGCAGACTACGTCACGTTTCCAAAGGGGAGGGGGGAGAGGAGGAGGAGGAGGGGAAGCGGCCGAGAAAGAAGGCCTCCGGCTTCTTAAGCGCCGAAAGGCCTGCCGGGTAATCCAAGATGGCGGCCGAGCCTTGGCCCGAGTTGGGCCTGCCGGGAAGGAGTGTGGCTGCCCCGTGGCGAGGTGGCCTGGGGGCTGCGGCCTTGCTCCGGTGCGGAAGACCAGCGGAGGCCGTCGCGTGAGGTGAGGAAGAGAAAATGCCGCCTCTAAGAGAGCGTGGCTGGCGCTGAGTGGAGGTTCCTGCCTCGAACGCCGGGGCCGGAAGTACTCCCTCCCAACCCCCTCCGTCCCGCCCTCGGAAACCCCGTCGAGGTCTTGTTTGCTAGACCGACCCCTCACGTGCCTTTGGTAGAGGAAAGAATGCTCACGCATGCGCATAAGCATGGAGCCATAGCAACCAGCCTTAATTTTTTTATATTTATTTTCGTTTTGGACAGATCCATGGATTTGCAAATTAAAATCGCCCGTATTTGCGCCCTTGCCTTTTAGCCAGCGGCGATCTTTGATGTTATTTTCTTTTGAGGCGGACCACACGGGTTTGTAAGACAAGCACCCGAATTTGCACACGTGCATTTTAACCAGCAGCAGCATTTTATTATTTTTATTTTCCTTTTAGACCAGACCAACGAGTTCGTATGTCGTTCTCTCTCATCAGCCCAACCCACTTCACGGGCTTATTGTGGGGAAAAGAGGAGGAGGAGGAAGATTAAGTATGTTCGCTGCCTTATTATGAAGTAATAAAGGGATCAAAATCTAATAAATAATATATAAAATACCAGATGAACTACTAGACTATTGGCAGCCCAGATGTTCACTGTTCTTCATTATAAAAAAACATACAGAAGTAGGGTTTTTTTTAAAGAATTCTGTGCAGATAGATTGCAGCAAATAGCAATTCTCTGCTCTAATTCTTGCTTTCATTTTACTTTTTTTTTTTAAAGACAATCGCTGTTTGAGAGATTTTCCCATTCCTTTCTATGGTTGAGTAGAAGTGCACACAGGTAGTCCTTGACTTAACAACCATTCATTTAGCAACTGTTCAATGGCACTGAAAAAAGTGACGACCATTCCAGCACCCCCATCCTCACATGATTAAAATTTGGGTGCTTGACAACTGGCAGGTATTTATGATAGTTGCAATCTGTCTCTGGGTCACGTGATCCCCATTTGCAACCTTCCCCACCAGCTTCTGACAAGCAAAGTCAATGACAGATTTGCTTAAGGACCACCTGATTCATTTAACAGTGGCTAAACAAGGTCGTAAATTTGGGCAAAACTCACTTAAAAACTGCCTTGCTTAGCAACAGAAATTTAGGCCTCAATTGTCGTATATCAAGGATCTACCTGTATGAAGTGTTGACTTGCAATTTGTTGCAGATTGCTTTTAATATTGCAATGTTACTTTGTGTTACAGTTGTTGTTGCTGCTGCTGCTGCTGCTTTGGACAAACCTTTGGATTTGTAGGCGCCATGGAGAAAATGGCCAGAGTGACCACCGCTCTCGGTGGCAACACGATCACTGGACGGACCATGTGCTGCCACCTGGATGCCCCTTCTAATGCCATCAGCGTGTGCCGTGACGCCGCTCAAGTGGTTGTGGCCGGACGCAACATTTTCAAGATCTACTCCATCGAAGAAGACCAGTTTATGGAAAAACTGAATTTGCGCGTCGGCCGCAAACCATCTCTGAACTTCAGCTGTGCCGACGTGGTGTGGCACCAGATGGATGAGAATTTGCTGGCCACGGCGGCCACGAACGGGGTGGTGGTGACGTGGAACCTTGGCAAGCCCTCTCGGAACAAACAGGACCAGCTTTTCATGGAGCACAAGCGAACGGTGAACAAGGTGTGCTTTCACCCAACTGAGGTCTATATGCTCCTTAGCGGGTCTCAAGATGGCTATATGAAGTGCTTTGACCTACGGAAGAAGGATTCGGTCAGCACTTTCTCTGGTAAGGATCCATGTTTGGGAGTTGCTGATTTCATGAGTAGAATAGGATGGGGTGGAATTATCTTACACTACTGAAGACAGAAATGTTCCAAAGAGCAAATTTTTGAGGTTCAAGTGGTATAGACGTTGCAGAGTCTTCATTTGAACATTCAAGGGGATGGCACGGAGAAGAGGGAATCGACTTATTCTCTAAAGCACCAGAGGGCAGGACAAAATGTAATGGGTGGAAGTTTGTTAATGAGAGATCCAACCTAGAAATAAGGAGAAATTTCCTGACAGAACAATTAATCAATGGCTTACCTTCAGAAATTGTGGGTATTCCATCATTGGAGGTTTTCAAAAATAGACTGGACCACCTTTTGGTATCAGGACTCCTGCCTTGAGCAACGGGTTGGACTAGAAGATCTCCAAGATCCCTTGCAGCCCTATGATTCTGTGTTCTATGATCTTCCAACTGTTTTTATAGCAGATGTAAATGAAACGTACATTAAACCCCTTACATCATAACGTTCATTCTTCAAATCGTTTATTAGTATTACTGATTATCCAATCCATCTAGCATCATTTCACCGTTTTGTTTTGCACAAAAAGTCCCTTTGAAAATGGGAGAATCTGACCTTGTCATGAGGAGGCTTCACTGCCCATAATCCCCAGCACCCAGGCTGGCTAGGAGGTTATAGGCACTGGAGCCTAACACATTTGAAGGAGCACCAGGTTGGGGACCGAACCTGTTTTTGGAGGGGAAACATTCCCTGGATGATTTACCAGGTAGAACGGGGCTCTCCAAACTTGGCAACTTTAAGACTTGTGGCATGCCCGGCTGGCTGGGGAATTGTGGGAGTTGAAGTCCACAAGTCTTAAAAGTTGCCAAGTTTGGAGAGTAGAAGATAGAAGATCAACCAAGTTTGGAGAGTTTGAAATAGAAGATCAATCTGATGTGGTTTCTACCTCCTTCAGGTCAATCGGAAAGCGTCCGTGACGTCCAGTTTAGTATCCGTGACTACTTCACCTTTGCTGCCACCTTTGAAAATGGCAACGTTCAACTGTGGGATATTCGCCGGCCTGATCGCTACGAGAGGATGTTCACAGCCCACAACGGACCTGTGTTCTGTTGTGATTGGCATCCAGAGGACAGGTATGAACACCTGTGTGTGTGTGTGGGGGGGGTGGATGTCTTTTCTGTCTCGGATGCTTTTCTGTGCCTGCCTTGTTTCGTAGCACCTTAGAATTAGAATAGAGCTGGAAGGGACCGTGGAGGTCTTCTAGTCCAGCCCCCTACTCAAGCAGGAGGACCTATACCATCTCAGACAGGTGAGCACCTTCTGACAGAGCACCTTCTGACAGAGCAATCTGGGATTCTACTTTCAGCACTTGTTCAGTTCCCCTCGCTTCGTGCAACTTTTCTGCAAAGCATTTTGTTTGGAAGCGTACGTTGCTCTTCGTATTTTAAACATCATTTTGCCCTTTCGGACTTTACAACCATTATTGGGACTAGAATTTCTATCGTACGTTCTTGCTGGTTCAGCTAGATTTTACAATTTTTAACATGGTTGTTAAGCAAATCACCGTTTTTGTTAAGCAAGCCACACAGATATTAAGCAAATCCTGTTTCAAGATTGCACCCCTGACCTAGAAGACTGTTAGTTCTCCAGTCCTGCTGCACCAACTTAAGAGATTGTGGCTGAACTGTTTATTAGTCTCCTAAACTCTTTGTGTTTTCATGTCTATGGAGATTCTCAGTCATCCAGGTCATAGCTATCCCAAAGTTGCTTTTTTACAAGGCAACTGGACTTGTTTTTCTTTGAAGACGTTTCGCTTATCATCCAAGAAGTTTCTTCAGTCTTGGATGAGAAGAGAAACGTCTTCAAAGAAAAACAAGAAAGTCCAGTTGCCTCGTGAAAAAGCCACTTTGGGATATCTTTTGTGTTTTCCTTTTTTTGGGGAGGGGGGTAATCTTTTTATTCATTTTTTTCATACAGACAATAATATTTTTTCAACCAACGTGCTGTCTGAGTTTACATATGCTAATACATGTTTAATTCTTAATCCTTTTTTCTTTTCTCTAGCCCCGGGGTAGGCAACCTTGGCTCTTTTATGACTGGTGGACTTCAACTCCCAGAATTCCTGAGCCATCATGGCTCAGCTTGGAAACCTCTCCCTTTCCCCTCAGCATGGCTGGCTCAGGAATTCTGGGAGTTGAAGTCCACGAGTCATAAAAGAGCCCAGGTTGCCTACCCCTGCTCTAGCCAATAGTAAAATAAATTCCAGGTTTGATAATAGTCTGTTTCTTCCTTTTCTTTCGAGTCTCATAGTCAATCTGTCCATCTCTGCGCATTCTAGTATTTTTTTAAATTATTTCTTCCTTTTCTTAAGAGGCTGGTTGGCCACAGGCGGCCGAGATAAGATGGTGAAAGTCTGGGACATGAGCACCAACCGGGCCAAAGAGATCTACTGCGTGCAGACGATCGCCTCCGTAGCCCGGGTCAAGTGGAGGCCCGAATGCAAGCACCACATTGCCACTTGCTCTATGATGGTGGACCACAACATCTACGTGTGGGACATCCGGCGCCCGTTCATCCCCTCTGCCATGTTTGAGGAACACAAAGACGTCACCACCGGGATCGTGTGGCGTCACCTGCACGACCCTTACTTCCTCCTCTCAGGATCCAAGGACAGCACTCTCTACCAGCACATCTTCAAGGACGCCAGCCAGCCGATCGAACGGGCGAACCCGGAGGGTCTCTGCTACAGCCTCTTTGGAGACCTGGCTTTCGCGGCCAAGGAGAGCCTCATTTCCTCCGACTCAAACCGCAAGCCCTACCTCGGGGACCGCCGCCACCCCATCTTCTTCAAGCGCAAGCTGGACCCCGCGGAGCAGTTTGAGTTCATCTCCTCCTCCAGCGCCCTCAGCGTCTTCGAAGCAGACGCCGGGTGCGATGCCAGCAGCATGGATTGGTTTGTGCGGACTGCCAAACAGTACCTCCTGACCGGGCGACCGCTGGCAGAGCTGTGTGACCACAACGCCAAAGTAGCCAAAGAGCTTAAGCGCAACCAGGTAAAGTTCCATCTCTTCATGTGGCTGTTCCAGTTCAGGGCTTCATCCCTTAGGGCAGTGATGGCGAACCTTTTAGAGACCGAGTGCCCCAAAACCGCGCCCCCCCACCCCGTCCCCGCTTTGCCGTGCCCGCTGGGCCACCCACCACCTCCACGGCCCACCACAGATCACCTAGGCAGCCCAGCAGCGCCATGGCAGCCATGCCCTCCACCCGTGCCCCGCGCGTGACGGGGCACAAGGGCAGAGTCTTGTCCCCGCTGCCCGGCTACCATGTCCTTGGCTGCGCTGCTTCATGTGGGCCATGCCCGGGGGTGACTCTCCGGGGGGCTGCTGGTGACGAGGGGGCCGTGAGAAGAGGCGGGGCTGGGGCGATGGTTCGTGTGCCCACAGAGAGGGCTCCGAGTGCCACCTCTGGCACGCGTGCCATAGGTTCGCCACCACTGCCTTAGGGCAGTGTTTCTTCAACAGATGGTTAGGACTGCAGAAAAAAACAATCGCAACCAGCCTGCCTTCCATTGGGGACCTGTATACTGCACCAGCAAGAAAGAGGGCTGTGAAAATATCTACAGACCCCTCTCAGCCTGGACATAAACTATTTCAACTTCTCCTCTCAGGAAGCCGCTATAGGGCATTGCTTCCCCAAACAGCTAGACACAAAGGTAGTTTTTTTCCCCTTGTGCCCTCAGTCTGCTGAACATCTAATTCCCACAGCACTTTCTTAGTCCTAAAGATATTGTTGTATGTTTAGGACTAAGTAGGGCTATATTGCTATTATCCTTCTCTTCTTTCTCATCTTCTCATTTCTCATCTTTCCTACTATCTTCTCCTATCGGTATTTCGTGATTTATCACTTGTTGTTTGTATCTTATGATTAACGATTGTAAATATGCTTAACGATCTATGATCTGTCACTTTGTTGTACACGGAGAGCTTATGCACCGGAGATAAATGTCTTGTGTGTCCAATCCCAGCTGGCCAATAAAGAATTCTACTCTAGTCTAGTCTACAGTCCAGTCCAACAGGTGGACTTCAACTCCCAGAATTCCCTAGCCAGCATGGGAATTAAAATCCACACCTCTTAAAAGTGGCTAAGGTTGAGAGACAATCTGCTAGAGCAGTGGTGGCGAACCTATGGCACGCGTGCCAGAGGCGGCACTCGGAGCCCCCTCTCTGTGGGCACGCGTGCCGTTGCCCCAGCCTCACCTCCCCCGCGACCCCCTGCTCACCAGCAGCCCCCCTGGAGGAGCGTCGCCCCCGAGTGTGGCCCACACGAAGCAGCGCAGGCAAGGACATGGCAGCCAGGCAGCATAGACAAGACTCTGCTCTCATGCCCCATCGCGCACAGTTGATGCTGCGGGGCGCGGGCAGAGGGCATGGTGCTGCTGGGCTGCCTGGGCGATCTGCGGTGGGCCCTGGAGGCAGTGAGTGGTCCTGCGGGCAGGCGGGGCGGAGGATGGGGTGGGGACAGAGCAGGGGGTAGAATGGGGGCGGGGCCAGTTTTTGGGCACTCAGTCTCTAAAAGGTTTGCCATCACTGTGCTAGAGGGTTGGTTTACAGTCCTTCAGTTGACAGACCTGGCTGGGAGTTTCTTAGCCTTTTCTGTTCTTTTTCTCCAGGTCGCTCAGACGTGGACAATGCTCCGGATTATTTATTCAAGCCCTAACATCGTCCCTGCCACGAACCTCAACCACAGCCTGGGGAAAAGTAGCTCTAACCTTCCACTCATGAATAGGTAAAGAGAAGGGGAGGGGCTTGCATTGCGGGACATGTGCTCTCAAGGGTGATTTGGGGCAAATCCAGGTGAGGCCCTGTAGCCCCCATTTAGATTAGGAATCTGGGAGCCTAAATCCACCCATCTTTAAGATGTCAAGGTTGAGAAACACTGCCTAAAGACTCTGGAACAGCCAATCCTTGGAGGTTTTGTCAAATGCCAACAGGAAATAGTACAAAATGGTAAATCAAATAATTCAAAGATATTGCTGATTAGTCTGTATCTGTTTGTAATGATACAGTGTGGGTAAGCCTGGTTATATTAAATATGGAATATGAGCATTCTTGGCTGCCCTATTATTTTTAATTTTGGGTTGTTTTTGCTGTTTTTTTCTTTTGTTGGCTACCCAGAGTCACGTATATAAGATTGGTAGCCACATAATATTATTGTTTTGGTTCATCACACACTCATCCAGATTGTAGACTGGATTTGGTATTTTATATTTGCCTATCGAGTCCTTCCCAAGGACCCGTTGCCATGATTACATGAGATTTCTAAGCTGCCCAACTGCCCAGCAACTCTGGGCAGTTTACAAATTGTTAAACATTAAAACTAGAAAACGACAGAAAGCCAACAAACAAACAGTAGAGATAACAAAAAAGAAGGAATTATGTTAAATAGATAAAGATAGCTCAGCTGGCGACAAGCTCAGAATTAAAAACAATCGCTCTTATCCGAAATTGCAAGCATTGTGGACATATAGAAGAAGGGGATATAGGAAGGAAATTTTTACTATGGACTATTCAGCCTTTTCTGCTTCTCTCCCAGCTTTAACTTGAAAGATATTCCCTCTGGAATAGGCACTGAGTCACGGCTGGAGAGGACCAAGGGGGAGAACCGTCCCGAAGCCATTCTCATGGATTCATCCTCAACTCTGATCAATAATGATGGTGAGCAGACCTAGAGGGGGGGGGGTGGACAGCTGTACAAAGGAAGTGGGTATATTCAGTCCAGGCAAACAGAAGGCCGAAGAAGCAAAATACAGAAGAAGCAAAATACAATTGGGACCAGAATTTCTGTTGCCAAGCAAGGTGGTTGCTAAGTCAGCCATGCCCAATTTTATGACCTTTAGTCCTGCTTGTTGAGTGGACCACTGCGTTCATTAAGTGAATCACATGATCATTAATCCAGCTTTCCCCATTGACTTTGCTTGTTGGAAGCTGGCTGGGAAGGTCGCCAATGGCGATCAAATGACCCCAGGATGTTGCAACCATTGTAAATACATGCTGGTGGCCAAGCGCCTGAATCCTGGTCACGTGACATGAGGATGCTGCGATGGTTATATGTGCAAGAACCAGTTGCACTTTTTCAGTGCAACTGTAACTTCAAACGGTCATTAAACAAATGGTTATAAGTTGAGGACTACCTGAATGATACCATTCATTCAATACCCGAAGAGGGGTTTCCTAGAAGAAGCTACAATCTCCTTCTGGTGTCTAGGACATGGAGCAATGGATCCATGCTAGATGAAGGCAGATTCTGATCAAACTTCTAAGTAGCCAAGTGGCACAACAGCAAATCTTGGAGGAAGGAATGAACTTCTCTCAATTGTTTTTGTTCAAGTGGAGCCTAGACGGGCGCTAGACTGCCTTTGATCAGAGGTGCTTTAATCTGAACTCCTGCACTGAACAGGAAGCTGAATTCTGTGGCCAAAACAGCTTCATCCAACTCTATGACTCTACTTGTAAGCATTTTTTTTTTCTGGATGTCTAGAGAACGAAGAGACAGAAGGAAGTGACGTTCCTGCCGATTATCTCCTGGGCGATGTGGAAGCTGATGAAGATGATCTGTACATGATGGACCATGAGAATCCTCACAGTGAGTGCCTGTCCTGCTTTAATGCCTAATCTGTTGTTTTTCTTTTCTTTTCTTCTCTCTCTGAGAGATCGGAGAAGAAGGGATTGCAAGAGAGTAAGCAGGCACACACAATGGGGGATACAAGGCGGTTTATCAAGCATGCTCATGGCTGCTGGGTGTCAGTGCATTGCTTTCGATGTGTATTCTCTGTCGTGTGCCTGCTTACTCTCTTGTAATCCCTTTCTCTCCGTTGCACGTAAATAAAAACATGAATCCCTTTTTCATTATCCAGTGCTCGACGAGCACTCCGAAGGGCAGAGCGGTTAGGAGGCAAACAAAAGATGACAGTGTGAAACCAATTAGTCTTACAAGCTCTATAATATAACGTTATATAGGAGGAGAGAATGGAGTGGTTTGGGTCTGCTCTCTTTCTCCTTCATGGTTCCGTGTCTTCCTGCAGCCGAAGACCAAGAGTATATCCTTCCCCAGGAAGCCTTTCCTTTACGCCACGAGATTGTAGACAACCCCTCTGCACTGGACCATCTGCAGGACAAAGCCGACTCGCCCCACGTCAGTGGCAACGAGGCGGAGACCGTTTCTCTCACTCCCGTGGAATCGTTCTCCCTCATCTCCATTTCACACTCCCTTTACGAGAATCGCCTGCCGGCCGATTTCTTCAACCCCATTGTCCATGACATGCTGCTCTTCTATGCCGAGCAGGGAGACGTCCAGATGGCCGTGTCGATCCTGATTGTGCTGGGGGATCGCATCAAGAAGGGGATTGACGACCAGACACAGGTACCTATATATCCACAGGTGATAATCGGTCAAGCACCAGCTAAGTCTCCTGTCCCAGTAGGGGGTGCTAGAGAAAAACCTTGCCCACTGCTGCTGCTTTTTCTGACCATTGGGCTGCCTCTTTGCTCGCCCTACTCAAGCGAGGGACATAGGAGAAGAAATACAAGTAGTCCTTGACTTACAAACCAGTCTGTTAGTAACCGTTCGTGGTTATGCCCAACCTTACGACCCAGATCCGAACTTCCGGTGACCACGGTCCTCCCCTCTGCAGTCACATGTCTAAACTTTGGGCATTCGGCAGTCGGGCTGCATTCATCACCTGTGGTCGCACGAATGTGTTTTACTGCCGTTTTGCAAAAAATTGGCATTTTAAGGGGGGGTAGCAAAATTGCAGCCGTAGTGAACCAATGCTTCGTTTAATGACTGCAGCAGTTGCTTAACGACTACTGCAAAAGAGATCATTTGACTCAAACATCCTTTGACTTCTGGTTTTTAAAAAAATGGCAGAACTCCTGTGTGAAAGGGTCACACCATCCTGGAAGGTTTCTGCTGTTTCACCTATTGCATTGGGCACCTCTGCCCTCCTTCCATGGCACCTGAGCAGTTGCCACTTGGTGACTTTGCATTGGCTGATGGTTGCTGGGCTAAAACTGGGATGGAACCCACGTCCATCCATTTTCATGTGCAGAGAAAATGTCCGACTGCTGCGTTCCTTTTTCCTTTCACCCCACTAGTTGAACATCCTGGTGAGATCCTCCAATTTTAATTTAGCCATAGTTTTGAGCTGAAAAAGCAAACATGTCAATACAGGGAGTCCCCGACTCTCTCATTTTAACGGAGGCCGGAATTTCCGTCGTAAGTCAGGGCAGAAACATGACCGGAATAATTTTACAGTGGTTTTTTTTGTTGTTGCTGCAGTTATTAAGCCAATTAATGTACTCCTGTGGTCTTGTTTTGCAAGGAAAGGGTTGAAAAACACTAAAATGCATTGTCAACCGTCCCACTCGGTCATCTAGCATCCTAAATCGTGGTCACAGGACCACGGAACTGGCCGCAAAGGTGAGCTGGTTGCCAAGGGCCTGAAATGCAGTCGTGTGTCCATGGGGGTGGTAGAGCCGTTGGAATTCCAGATCTGGGTCATAAGTAGCTTCGGGTAGTTCCGTCATAACTTCAAATGTTATGCTAAGCAAGGATTACCCGTAAACCGTATAAATGCTTCTGAGTCTTGGGAGAAACACGCAGTGGCTTCTGAAGTTTGGGATGCCACCATATCGCCGTCTTCCGTTTCCACAGGAACATTGGTACATGTCCTACATTGACCTGCTGCAGCGGTTCCAGCTGTGGAACATCTCCAATGAAGTGATCAAGCTGAGCACTTGCAGGGCCATCCACTGCCTCAACCAGGCCTCCACCACCCTGCACATCAACTGCAGCAACTGCAAGCGGCCCATGAGCAACAAAGGCTGGATCTGTGACCGGTGAGAAGCTCACGGCTGCTAACACGCAGCCTGTATGTGGTACAGCTAACCCTCGACTGACAGTTTGTTTAGTGACCGTTCGAAGTTACAACGGCACTGGGAAAAGTGACTTGTGACCATTTGTCACACGATTGTTGCAGTATCTCCCTGGGGTCACGTGATCAAATTTTGGACACTTGGCAACTGGCATGTACTTACGACGGTTGCAGTGTCCCGGGGTCACATGATCCCTTTTGCGACCTTCTGACGAGCAAAGTCAATGGGGAAGCCGGATTCGATTAACGACCGTGTTACTAATGTAACAACTGCAACAGTTCACTTAACCCCTGCGGCAAAAAAGGTCATAAAATGGGGCAAAACTCGCATAACGAATGTCTCACTGAACAACAGAAATGTTGGGCTCATAAGTCGAGGACTACCTGTATTTGTCTTCCTTCTCCAAAGCTTGTGAAATAGTCTAGGCTGAGAAGGGAAAGAAAGAAAGAAGGAAGGAAGGAAGGAAGGAAGGAAGGAAGGGAAAGAAAGAAAGAAAGAGAAAGAAAGAAAGACAGAAAGACAGAAAGAAAAGTCAGAGACAGGCAGAGAAAGAGGGGGGGGAAAGAAAGAAAAAGAAAAAGTCAGAGAAAGAAAGAAAGAAAGAAAGAAAGAAAGAAAGAAAGAAAGAAAGAAAGAAAAGCCAGAGACAGAGAGGCAGAGAAAGAGGAAAGAAAAAGAAAGAGTCAGAGACAGACAGAGAAAGAAAGAGACAGAGAAAGAAAGAAAGACAGAGATAGGCAGAGAGAGAGAAAAAAAGAAAGAGTCAGAGACAGACAGAAAGTCAGATAGAGGCAGAGAGAGAGAAAGAAAGAAAAAAGTCAGAGACAGACAAAGAAAGAGTCAGAGACAGACAAAGAAAGTCAGACAAAGATAGGCAGAGAGAGAAAAAGAAAGAGTCAGAGACAGACAGAAAGAAAGACAGAGAGGCAGAGAGAGAGAAGAAAGAAAAAGAAAGAAAGAAAAGAAAGAAAGAAAAAGAGAAAAAGAAAGAGTCAGAGACAGACAGAGAGAAAGAGAAAGAAAGAGTCAGAGACAGAAAGAAAGAAAAAGTCAGAGACAGAGGCAGAGAGAGATAAAGAGACAGAGAGAGAGAGAATGGGTCAAATAACAGGCTGAGCTTCATAACTGAAGAAAGATTGGAATCACTCTGGGGCCTGAGGCTCTGCTCTTCCCCTGCAACTCCACCTGTGTCCTTCAGCTGCTTCTCTCTTTCTGGTCTCTTCCAGGTGTCGGCAGTGTGCCAGCATGTGTGCCGTGTGCCACCATGTGGTCAAGGGCCTCTTTGTGTGGTGCCAAGGCTGCAGCCACGGTGGTCATCTGCAGCATATCATGAAATGGCTGGAAACCAGCTCCCACTGCCCTACAGGATGCGGTCATGTTTGCGAATACACCTGAATTCAAAAAGAACGTTTATGTCCGTTGAGCCCCCCAAAACCTGGGGGCTGCCTAGAACTGAGAACCTCACTTGGGGGGGGGGGGAAGGGAAGGAGACAGTCACTGTGGTTGCTAATCTAGATATCTGCCGTGAAACCACAGCAGGTTGGGTGTTGCAAAATGGACTGTAATTTTTCTGCTTCCTGGAAAGAAAGAAAAACCCAGCACAGCCACATGCTCAGGGGATTCTGCTAGAAAACTTCACTTAGATCTTTTCTTCTAATGTCCTGCTCTGGAGGCAGTTTGTTGTTTAACCATGGTTCTGTACAAAACCTGCTTTATTAGCCAGGATGGCTCCAGAAAGTTTCAGGCAGTTCTTTTTATACCGAATTAAACAAAGTGAAACTTAACCGCGTGTTCGTTTGCATTTGCAAAACTTTCTTGTACAAAGGTTTCCAAATAACTGGCCAGCTACAGAACAGGATTGAGGCTCTCTCCTCAAATAGGAGACCTCAGAATCTGATCTGGGCCAAAAGTTAAATTTCCAGCTCACAGCTGGAGAAGGTATGGTTGGGCTGCACAAGAGAGAGGGTTTTATATGTTATTGAAATAGTTTTAGGATTTCATGCAGAGCAACGAAACAAGAACACTTTGTCTGATGAGAATAACTTTAGAGATCCTATTCTTAGCAAGCTCCTACAGTTTTTAAACAGAAAAAATACTTGGTTATGTACCGTGTTCTTATCAGTCTTAAAAATAAGTCCATCTGATCTAACAGAATTTAGTCTTGAGTGTATAGAATTATAGCCTTATTCTTGTTACACCAGTATTCCTCGGCCTCAACAACTTTAAGAAGTGTGGATTTCAACTCTCTGAACTTCCTAGCCAGCAATGCTAGCTGGGGAAGTCTGGGAATAACAGAATAACAGAGTTGGAAGGGACCTTGGAGGTCATGTAGTCCAACCCCCTGCTCAAGCAGGAAACCCTATACCATTTCAGACAAATGGTTGTCCACTCTCTTCTTAAAAACTTCCAGGCTTGGAGCATTCACAACTTCTGGAGGCAAGTTGTTCCACTGGTTAATTGTTGTCCCTATCAGGAAATTTCTCCTGAGTTCCAGCTTTGATCTCTCCTTGATTAGTTTCCATCCGTTGCTTCTTGTCCTGCCTTCAGGTGCTTTGGAAAATAGTTTGACCCCCCTCTTCTTCATGGCAGCCCCTCAAATATTGGAACACTGCTATCATGTCATCCCTGGTCCTTTTTTTTTTCCACTAGACTAGCCACACCTAGTCATATGATTTAGCCTCCAGGACCCTGATCATCTTTGTTGCTCTTCTCTGCACTCTTTCCAAAGTCTCAAAATCTTTTTTATAATGGGGTGACCAAAACTGGATGCAGTGTTCCAGATGTGGTCTTACTAAGGCTTTGTAAAGCGGTACTAGTACTTCACACGATCTTGGGTCTGTCCTTCTGTTAATGCAATCTAGGATAGCATTGGCTTTTTTGGCAGCTGCCACACACTGCTGGCTCATATTTAGATGATTGTCCACTATTCAGCCAGGTTTATAATAATAATAATAATAAAGTTGGAAGGGACCTTGGAGGTCATCGAGTCCAACCCCCTGCTCAGGCAGGTAACCCTATACCATTTCGGACAAATGGCTGTCCAGTCTCTTCTTAAAAACTTCCAGTGTTGGAGCATTCACCGCTTCTGGAGGCAGGTTGTTCCACTGGTTAATTGTTCTAACTGTCAGGAAGATTCTCCTTAGTTCCAGGTTGCTTCTCTCCTTGATGAGTTTCCATCCGTTGCTTCTTGTCCTGCCTTCAGGCGCTTTGGAGAATAGCTTGACTCCCTCTTCTTTGGGGCAGCCCCTGAGATATTGGAACACTGCTATCATGTCCCCCCTCGTCCTTCTCTTCGTTAAACTAGACATAGCCAATTCCATCAACCTTTCCTTGTATGTTTTAACCTCCAGACCCCTAATCATCTTTGTTGCTCTTCTCTGTACTCTTTCTAGAGTCTCAACACCCAATCTATACCTGTACTTTTGTTTTTTCTTGTGTGAGACTTGACTTTTCTTTACGTTGAATTTTATTTTATTAGACAGGGCCCAGTGTTCAAGTCTGTTGAGATCCATCTGGACTTTGAGCCTATCATCTGGGGTGTTGGCTATTCCTGCCAGCTTAGTGTCTTTGTTAGGGAGTTGAAGTCCACACATCTTAAAGTTGCAAAGGTTGTGAAACACTGCGTTAGGGTATTAAAAGCAAAAATAAAGAATGCAATGACTTGGTTTGCTGAATCTCCATTTTTCTAAAAGTTTCTGCTCGAATGCATTTACAGTGCAACAAAAGGGCATTGATAGGGATTGTTCATTTTCAAATTGCTCTTTTCATCTTTGAAACACTTGGATTGCTTGATCAAATCTCGCCCCTCAGTAAATCAGGCGGAAAATGGATTTTGCTCTCCATCTGCTTCCCAGCCTTTTAAAACCAGGAACCTCTTTTAATTGCTTTCTCATAGTTTGCTCCTTCCGTGTCATATCCACATCCCATCTTTTTTTAAAAAAAGATGTTTCTGCTTTTGGGTCGTAAGACCCGGTATCTTCCTGATGGCAGAAACCAGCAGAAGATGAAAAGTGAGAGACAGCTGTGTATGAGGTGTGTGGACATTTCTATGTGGTCCCCACTTTTCAGCATCATTGGGTGATGGGTGCACCTTTTCAATTACCAAATCTGAAATACCACGAGGGCAGCGAAGCGTGTGTATGTGTTATGAAGAGCAAAACAAAAAAAAAACCCTTTAAAAAGATTTAGGAAAAGCTGCTAGCAAAGCACCAGAAGACAACACAAGAAATTTAATCGAGAGAAGCAACCTAGAACTAAGGAGAAATTTCCTGACAGAACAACTAATCAAAGAAAAGGATTGCCCTCAGAAGTTGTGGGTGCTCCAACACTGGAGCTTTTCAAGAAGAGAGTGGACAACCATTTGTCTGGAATGGTATAGGCAACCTTGGCTCTTTTATGACTCGTGGACTTCAACTCCCAGAATTCCTGAGCCAGCATGGGGGAACTGTGGCCCCCTCATGACTTGTGGACTTCAACTCCCAGAATTCCTGAGCCAGCATGGGGGAACTATGGCCCCCTCATGACTTGTGGACTTCAACTCCCAGAATTCCTGAGCCAGCATGGCTCAGCTTGGAAACCTCCCTTTCCCCTCAGCGTGGCTGGCTCAGGAATTCTGGGAGTTGAAGTCCACAAGTCATGAAGGGGCCATAGTTCCCCCATGCTGGCTCAGGAATTCTGGGAGTTGAAGTCCACGAGTCATAAAAGAGCCAAGGTTGACTACCCCTGGTATAGGGTCTCCTGCTTGAGCTGGGGGTTGGACTAGAAGACCTCCAAGGTCTCTTCCAACTCTGTTATTCTGCTATTCCGGAGAACAATTAATGGAACAGCTTGCCTCCAGAAGTTGTGGGTGCTCCAATACTGGAGGTTTCTAAGAAGAAACCACAGCCATTTATCTGAAATGGTATAGGATTTGTTGCTTGAGTAAGGGGTTGGACTAGTAGACCTCTAAGGTGGCTTCCAACTCTCTTATTCTGTTAAGAATAATGTCTATTACTGCTCTATGAACTCTTTAATCAACACTTCCCTATACAGTATGACCTTTTTTCCTGATTCCTCTTTTTCCCCCTTCTAAAATGATAGCATTGCTATGGAATAGCAATTTTTATGAAGTGATCTGACCTGGTTTGTAGCTGATGTTATGGAGATCGACTACCTAGGATTTTGTTTTTAGCCATTATTATGCCCCTCTCATTTTAAAGAAAAACCTTGCCATGGGGAACTTATGAGAAAATGCAACAATGAAGTATTTAAATTCAGAAGATTCGTTGAAAGATGAAAATGGAATAATATCAGCCATTAAAATACATCTGCGTTTGAATGTTTCATCATGGAGATTGAAGTAGCATTGTGAAAATTTGGCTAGCGAGATTCATCTTAAGAGTTGGAAAATCCTGTTTCTGATTATTTTTATTCAAAAAGTTTAAAATATGAATTCCAAAAACCCCCCCACCAAAGTTGGTTAGACTGTTGTCTACTGTTGATTATTTGTGTTGCTAGTTCCTTGATTCCTTGTTTACTTCCTTGTTTCCTTGATTGTTAAACAAGTGGTACAATCAAGGAACTACCAACACAGACAAATAATCCAACCGTAAACAACAGCCTAATCAAGGAACAGGCAATATATAATTAGTATATAAAAAAAAGAGCAAACTCCATTCCCTTCTAGCATTGATGATGTTACCTAGTTGGGTAATGAGACGTCTGCAAGAAAACCACCAAGCTCAGAGAGCACTAAGGACCCCTCAGTTGTCGTTGTCCTCCTCCTCCTCCATTCTACACAGCCCACTCCCTTCTAGCACTGATGATGTTACCTAGTTGGGTAATGAAATGTCTGCAAGAAAACAACCAAGCTCAGAGAGCACTAAGGACCCTACAGTCGTTCTCCTCCTCCTCCTCCTCCTCCTCCTCCTCCTCCTCCTCCTCCTCCTCTCCCACTCCACAAAGCCTACTCCCTTCTAGCACTGATGATGTTACCTAGTTTGGGTAATGAAATATCTGCAAGAAAACCACCAACCTCAGAGAGCACCAAGAACCCCACAGTTCAACCCTGAACTTCAAACTCTTCTATCTGTAGATATACAATCTGGGTGTCAAGGCTGAACCCTACTGGTTTTCCAGCACCAGTCCTTTGAAAGCATTTCAGTACTCCTGGAAAAAGCGTGCTGTGCCTCATCTTCAGCTGTCCTTTCTCCTCCAAGGAGAGGTGGACCCTGTCCCGAGCATGATTCCTTTTGAATGGAATCAATGGAACCCTCTAGAACTGAAGGAGCTTCTTGGACGAGAAGCGAAATGTTTTCCAGGAAAAAAAACACCAAGAAAGTCCAGTTGCCTTTTGGAAAAGGGCCTTTGGGACAACCATCACAGAATATCAGAGTTGGAAGGGACCTTGGAGGTCTTCTAGTCCAACAACCC